GTCAAGCTTCTCTGCTCTTCTCTGCTCTCCCTGCCCTCCCATCTTGGCAGGACCCTCAGGGCCATGTCCTGGCCATAGCCAACTTTGAAGTCAACCACTAGCTGGAAACTTAACCTTATACATCTGTTATTTTTCTGTGTAACTCTTAACAGGGCTGAAGGTGGTTTGGCAGATGCTATGAAAACTGTCTTGCCAGACTCATTAGTGCTGTGTAAGCCATGGAGATTCTGCAAATGACAGTTCTAGATGGGTTTGGGGCGTGGCGAGGGTGCTTTTGGCCATAAGAAATGTTAAGAGAGTCTTCATGGAAAACCATATCGTGCTCGTGGGTCAGCAGAATCAACATCGTTAAGATGTCTATACTACCCAAAGTGATCTACAGTTTCAATGCAATCCCTATTAAAATACCAACCTCATTCTTCACAGATGTAGAAAAATTAATTTTACACTTTGCATGGAACCAAGGAAGACCCCACATAGCAAAAACAATTCTAGGCAATAAAAACAAAATGGGAGGTATCAACTTACCAGACTTCAAACTTTATTATAAGGCTGTAGTAATTAAAACAGCTTGGTACTGGCACAAAAATAGAGCCATTGACCAGTGGAACAGAACTGAGAACCCAGATATAAAACCATCCTCATATAACCACCTAATCTTTGACAAAGCAGACAAAAACATACACTGGGGAAAAGAATCCTTGTTCAATAAATGGTGCTGGGAAAACTGGATAGCCACATGTAGAAGACTGAAGCAGGATCCACATCTTTCACCTCTCACAAAAATCAACTCACGCTGGGTAACAGATTTAAACCTAAGGAGTGAAACTATTAGAATTCTAGAGGAAGATGTTGGAAATACTCTTCTAGACATTGGCCTAGGCAAAGAATTTATGAAGAAGACCCCAAAGGCAATCACAGCAACAACCAAAATAAATAAATGGGACCTGATCAAATTAAAAACCTTCTGCACAATACGATGTCTACAAGAAACTCAATTCAAATGATAGAGGTAGGTGAAAGGATAAAAAGACAACCATGTAAACACTTAAATGAAAGGTGGAGTGGCTATATTAGTAACGATCAATTTCCTAATGATAAGTCCAGTTCACCAGAAGACATAAGAATCCTAAATGTGTATGCACCTCACAATAGCTTCATTGGAGCAAAAACTGAAAGGAGAAAGACAAACTAATGCACAATTATAGTTAGAGACTTTAACATCCCTATCTTAGTAACAGAAATAGTATATACACAGCAAATCAGAATGTCACCATTAGCCATCCGGACTGAGTTGACATTTATATAACACTCCACCCCAAAACAGCAGATACATCTCTTCAAGTGTACATGGAATGTTCACCAAGATTGACCATATCTGGGGCCATAAAAATGCTTTAAATTGAAAGAATAAACTGATGGCTATAGAAAAAATAGGCACCTTATTTCCAAA